TGAAAAATTGATGTGGGTATTTAAATGAAAGGTCTTGATGAGTGTAACATCGGGATGAGTTTATATCTTTAAAAATGTCAATAAGTTGACAGGATACAAGGTCATTTTTAGTTATTGACATTTTTTAAGATATAAGCTCATCCTGATGTTACACTCCTCAAGAGCTTTCATTCGAGTACCCACATGCATTTTGATATATTTTTCATATTTACATATATATAATATATATAAATATATGAAAAATTAATGTGGGTACTCAAATGAAAGGTCTCGATGAGAGTAACATCGGGATGAGCTTATATCTTTAAAAATGTCAGTAATTGACAAGATACAAGGTCATTTCTTAATTATTGACATTTTTTAAGATATAAGTTCATCCTAATGTTCCATTTATCAAGAGCTTTCATTTGAGTACCCACATGCATTTTTATATATTTTTCATATACACATATATATATATCATATATACATATATATACATGTATATAAATATATGAAAAATTGATGTGGGTACTCAAACGAAAGATCTCGATGAGTGTAACATCGGGATGAGCTTATATCTTTAAAAATGTCAATAGTTCACAATATACAAGGTCATTTCTTAATTATATATCTAGAGATAGAATATTTTTGAATGCCGCCTAAATACTTATCATAATAAATTGACTATCACTGATAATTATATGAAACCTTGAAAAGGCACAAATTCAAGTCAAGACCTTTGCAATGACACTAAATTTTACTAAAAAAAAACCGATTTTATCATATGACTATCCTGGAGACAAAATTTTTCTTATTTTCTTAATAATATATTAAGATTATTTGATTTTTAATTTAACATATGAAATTTTCATTAATTTTTTTTAATAAAAGATTAATTATTAAATTTTTTTATGAAACTGCAAAATTTATTTTGATGTAAATGTAAATTGAATTTTTTCCAAAAAGAAGAAAACTCTTGAAGCAGCAAAATATATATAAATAAGTAAAATAAATTATTAAATTAAAATAAACTGTCCAACATTTACTCAACATAAAATCTGCTCTACACATCATGGCGAGCCATGCAGACACCAGAGATAGAAGATAGAAGATGTAGGATAATCTATAGTTTAATGGATAGTTAATAATGCGAATAGAAGCCTGGAAGTTGGAACTACGCTCTGGTGCCTTCGGTACGGGCGTGTGCAATGTGAATTTAGTATTTCTCTTGTTAAATTCGATTGGTCGACACCAGCTAAGTGTGAGTGGAAGTAGATGTGGATGTGTCTCCATTTGTGTTGGTATTTGTATTACATATGGAATCAGAGAAATGATGACGACAAATACATCGGTCAGTGCGGTGGTTGTGTGTGGAAATGTTCAGGGTGAGTGCTCATTTGGAATCCCACGGACCCTTGTTCCGACACCGTTTGTAAACTCCGCGTACAACAATGTACGTCCGGCAATGCACGCTGGCCAGAGCCAAAGCAAACCCTTTTTTGTCTTTCTCTGAAACTCACCAGCTATGTGCTGCACCGTACTCTCTACTCTCTTTCATTAGTGTACAACAGCCAGCACCTCAGTCCGCAATCATTTGATGGTTATTCACTGATCAAATGTGGTCACACGCTCGTTACTACCCTTCTATTATTTTCCTATGTCAATCATAACTCGCCGAGTTTAATTGTTTAATTGCCAGTTTGTTTATACAATTATTTCGGTCTACGGGTTACTAATATTTTTTTTAATTTTATAACCAAGTTTTTACATGTTCATTCTGTTTTAATTGATATTTTTATTGAGGGAGGATAAAAGAATGAAAATAGCAGATATTTTAAAATTTTTAGGTTTTTTTTTAATAATTTACAATGTTATGTTTGATAAAAAATTTCTGAAATTTTCCTGACCAATAATTTGTATTTTAGAAAAATAAAATTCTTTATTAACAAATTAAAAATACACAGTAAAAAATTTTACGTCATTGCGTCAAAAATTTTTGTGTTAGATGTTTAATACTTTTATGTGTAAATTTTACATTTATTGTGTTAAGTTAACACAGAAAAGTGTTAAATTTTTAACGCAAAATTTTTTGACGCATTGACGTAAAATTTTTTACTGTGTATTTTCTTTTTTTGTATAATAATTGTTAAAAAACAAAATTATTTATTTAAAAAATTTTTCTTGTATTAAATTAATAAATTTTTTAATAGATTTATATTTATACTAAAAAAAAATTAATTAATAATGTAAATAGAAGAAAATTTCAATGAATATTTTGATCTAATTTCAAGTCATTCTTATAACATGAATTTTTATATGATCAATT